CTTGTACTCCAACTCAATGCATTAATTTATATACAGAATGTAATAATCTCTTATTCAATCTAACTTTTAATATATTCTTTGAATTTTCTAATCTGCAGACGTTAATCTTCAGATCAGCTGGTAGGACTTCGCTATTTAAATTTTTACATAATCCTGCATACATTCAATGCCTTTTATTTATTCCTTTTGTTTTTTTGGAAATTGTTTTAACGTTTTAAGGATTTCTTTCAAGAGTCACTTCCTAAAATTATGATGAAAATTTGTTAGCATTGGCAGTGCCAATGTGGCACTGTATTATGATAGACATTCGATGTTTGGATATTTTCTTTGGTCGAGTTTTCGAAACATTATATAATATTTCTACACTGACTAAACTGCATAAGCAATATATATACTCCAACATTGACTTTGTCAATTTCACAAGTCTTTTATTAGAGCTCACCCACATCTTTCAAGTTTTCATTCATTTTGCTCTAGAGATGAATCTTTAATATCGCGATCAAACTTTGAATATAAAACTAATTTATGCAATTTGCAGGTAATGGCTCGACAAGGTATTTAAATTTTGCACAAATTCATCGCGTATCGTTGATATTGTATGATTTAAGCCCTTCAACTGGGTCATTATGCAAGAACGCGCGCGAAGCATTTTGATATTAATGGAAATGGCTTATTGTAGTTGCACATAATGGCAACTTCCTTTTGCCATTAAGTTTTCTATTCTCTGACATCATGGGATACATGCTATTTTCAAATGGCATACGAAAATGTACTGACCGGAAAAATAATTTATAATGGTAATAAGTGGTCAATCCTAAGGTCAATCGAACCATAAAAGTACTTAACAGTATCTGAAGACACATATGTCTGATTATGAATACTTGGTTGATTAATTTATTAGTTTGTTCTTAAATTTATTTGATAATTTCAATGAAGTTTCTTTCGAGTTACGTAACCGCTACGTGCAACTGCATTACATTAATTTATTATCACGTCTAGCAACTTACTGAAAATGTGTGTAATACTTGCTATTGGATTATCAGGATTTACTGTGATATTTACATATAATTCCCATTATCCTCGTTTTTATCATCATTTTTAACAATTTTCAGAATTCACCTTATTCTGCTCTATTATTATTAAAAAATCGATTTTGTTTCATTGATATTTTCAAAGTTCAACTATTCAAGAATATGTGTACAAGAGGATATTTTAAAATTTAAATTATTTTTGCAGATATAACTATTTGCCAACAATAGTTCTCTTTTGTTCCCTTCCTCAGTGAAACTTTAAAAGCGATTTTTCCGAAACTGCCATTTTCGATACGATACCCACGATTTCTCTACTTATACTGGACCGATTTTCTTAAAATTTGTACAGAGCCTTCTTCATAGACTCCTCTTCAGTATGAACTATGCTCACCCTCAAATTACAATTTTTATTATTTTTATAAAATTCGAGAATATTAAACAATGTTGTGAATTTTTTTTCAGATACTCGCTATTTTGTGCAAAATATTTTTTTTAATTTGTTCTTAATTAATAAGAATAGGTCATTATTTTGAAGCAAAGAGTGCAGATAATAGAAATCGTGTTTTTGAGAGAACTGAGCATCCTATTTGAATGATCCAAAAATATTCAATTAATGACTCACCCTTTGTCTGAATTTGGCCTCAATCATTCAGAATGAGTTGAAACGTCGAGAAAACATAAAACAAGCAAATCGGATTATTTGGCTAAAGCATAAACTTCTCCTTCGGGAAGTTAATAAAACGCATTTCTTTGAATATAACGAGTATTATATTAAAAAGTACCAAATGTTTGAAATAAATTATTTTAATGGACGCTAGTACAATTTATTTTAGACTCCTCCGTGTCGTATTTCTTACATTCATCTATCTATCCGAGAGCATAAGATGAATAAGTCAAAATGTGGAAAGGCAAAAGAAAAAGTAAGAAAGGGCTTTTAGAAAAATACTTAGCTCGAAGCTTTGATGAAAATTAATCGAGATAGAAGTGCCCCCGAAACGCCGCAACGGATGTATCTTATATCCGCTCCTGGCATTTTCTTTTTGCGGTCAGCATAGAAATAACATTATTTAATGTACTTTTATTGTGAATAAACGGATATACAGTCTTTTGATCCGTGAAAATTTATCTGGGTACATATATTTTATGTCGGTGCTCGGTGCTGCGCCGCTTTTTGCATTTGTCGTTATTATTTCACTCTAAAATATAACACGCTAACACAATTCTGCCGAATGGGTGGATAAATGTGTCAGTGGAACGAAATACACGAAACAAATATATATACAAATATTAGGGTGGTTCTTAATATGGATGTTTTCGAATTTCTTTGCTCCCAGGGGCTCAATAGCTTCCAAATTGTTAAAAAAAAGAGTGCGCGTAATGTTCACACGCGATTGAAGTAAAACTTATTCGCTACTGTACAAGATGGTATTTAAGTAAAAATAAATACATCTTACAACAATTTTGAATAATGTTTCTTAGTAATATGGTAACACTCGTGATGCACACATTTATTAGTGCCAACCATTATACACATTTATATAATGATAAATTATAAATTATATATTTATAATAGCATTAAAAATATGTATAATATTTCAAAACAATAATGTAATTGTAGTCATACTTCAAATATGACATGATCGGTTTGTCATTGTAATTAGCATTAAGATATTAGCCTTTATTAGAGAAATGAAGTAATTGCTGATTAATAAATTCTCTAATATTTGTTCACACAATGGATTAAGTTAAAACAATGCCTTAACAAATATTGTTTTTGCAACTTCACTCATCATGTAATAATTGAGTTTGAAGAACTTCATGTAATTAAAATTAACATACATTCATGATTGCTTGTATTTTTTTCCTTTTTCGCTGGCGATATTATATCTCTCTTTAAACAGCTGTAATATCTGTGTTGCCTAAAAATATTTTCCATAGTAATAACTTCAAAATATTATAGAAACTACGAATAATATAGAAACAGGGCTTCTGATTCAAGCATTTTTCATTAAATCAAGATTTGTACTACGGTGTAACTTTAATTAACCATGTCCATTATGAAGTATATCTGTATATAAATGATACACAGCTACATAAACTATTGTTGTGCTTGATTTCTTATTTAGAGTAATGAATCTGAATATCAATTCATTCTTCATTATTTGTGGAAATAAGCAACTTTTTAATACTTTACGTTCAGGATCCGTAAAATGAAATTGTAAGCTTTGACATTTGAACGAGTACAGTTGTGTTACTTGTCATGTAATTAAAATTAACATACATTCATTGACTGTTTGTATTTTTGACTATTTCTCTAGCAATACAGTCTCATTCTTTGAGCAGCTGTAGTATGTGTCTTGCCTATAAAATAACTTATAAAAATATATAGTTACCACGAATAATACAGATTATTTCAATAAACCTACGTTTCTTAGACGGCACAGATTATTTGTTATATTATTTTTACTATATCAAAAATCACTCTCATGCGACACGACGACCAATCACAATCGACCCGTAGAGAAATGATATCATCGAGAGCGAATGACGAATCATTGGCACTTGACTCGAGCGTAACGCTCTTCCGTTGCATTTTCACAGATTTGCACCATCGTTGCGCCTAAAGAAAGTTTATTTCAAAAATTCTCCGAAAGTTTTAATTCTTAATATTAACTTTAAGATAGTCCGTACTCCAACCAAATCTAACCCCATCTAGAATGCTTTGAACTTCTTTCTTAATTATACTTTCCTCCTTAATTAGTAGAAAAAATTAAGTGTGTGAATATGTCAGCCAATTTAAATTAGAAAACTAATACATAAATTATTTATGCAAAGAATTTCACTCACAGACATTTATAGCCAACGACATTCTTTTCGGAGAGTCACATAAGATTCTGCTTGAAATATGTAGATCACAAATCATAGAATTTTATTGCAGTTCCTAGTTTAGTATATAGTACAGTAGTGTATTGTATGATGTGATAAATTCATGCGAGCATGTTGTTATCTGGATGTTTGGGCATCCGTCTGTGCTTCTGTCTGTCTGTTCTAGTCTGTTCTATCCGGAAACGACGGTGCGAGTCGGACTCGGACATCATCCATTGATAACATGACTGTTACTATGGCATGGTGTAAATAAATCTAATATATAACCCTGGTGTTGATTTCGAAAATCCCCAGATACTATATCCCGAAAAACATGTGTACATTAATTATTTCCAAAGAATTATCCGACAAAAATCCTGGAACATCTCTAAGACAATTCAGTAAAACAAATACAATTACCATGAACAATTCCAAATTTCCTAGACAATTTCCACAGTTTATCTTAAGGAGCGAAGAATAATCCAATCTTGATAATTTGTAATTGAAAATTTATTCAACGTCCGGAAAAATTATATTCTTTGAATGAATAAAATACATATTGATTTATGGTGTAGTTTTTACACGCGCTTTTTGAATTTATATTCTGGTTATGAAGCACTGTGATTTCTTTAACTATTTTATATACAAGTCTTGTACTTTAATAGTAACTAGGAAAAAATAATATATTATCTACTGTGCAAATTGTATCTTGGTCCTATGTGTTTAACTATTGCATAATCCGATAGCTGAGTAACTATTTCAAATTGCATATAATATTACGTGTAAGTAAATATGATAATTAATGATGAAGTATCAAAGTTTCACTGAAGTTTGAGAAGATCCGGCGAAACTTGGAAAGATCACTGTACAGAGATAAAAGCATCTGGTTTTAGATATCAAGAACAAAACTTATGATACTGATAATAAAAGTAACAACAGTAATTATATTAATAATAAAAATGATAATGAGGTCCTTTAGTCTAGAATTAAACCTATAGGTAAATTTACGTGCTACGGTTAGTGGCGCCCCTATGGAGCGGGGAAACAATCAAAATTGAAGTAATTTTTACTCTATGATTCTATCAGATTGATTTTTGTTTTTAGCTCCAGCTCTTGTGATAGTCGACGAGCTGGGAAGAAAAACGCCCGATATTTACTATCGGACGAATAGTGCCATAGAACTGACGTGCCAAGTTACCACACTACTAAATCTGATGACCAAAGCCAAAACCGAAAATACACAATTGGTGTGGTTCAAGGACGGCGAACAGATTTCGACCAACCAGACTAAACTTATGTAAGTAATAGAAATAGATTTTAAATTATATAATTGATACAAATAATTATAATAAAGGGCTGTACTGCCTTAGGGATTCAGGGAAGAATAGTGTGAGAGATTTTCTTATTTTCAATTAGAAACATATTTTTCATCCATATTTTCAAAAATTGACAAAAGCTGCTGCATGATACCAGGTTGTCCAAGGTTCCCGGACTTACGACCTTGTCTACACGAGTCCGTGAGCTTAACAGTTATATCATGAAACAACCAATTTGTACATGATGAATATAAATGTAATATTTATACTTCCGACTGTATAAGAACGAAAAATCCATCATTATTCTTTTCACTAAGACTATTTTGACTTTGCAGTGCTTCTTTTACTAAATTGCAAATATCTCAAAATTTTGCAAGAGATTCTATAAATTTTATTACTGACGCCTATAGTAGACACTTTAAAAAATAACTTGTGCAAATTTCAGGGTTGTAGTACAAACGGTGCGACCTTGGCGTAATTTCAAACATATTTATTAATTTGCTGTTAGAATATCTTCATTTATAGACGATATTCGCTTGACGACCTGTGTGTACGAATGTCGCCTATAGTGTGGCGAATTTTGCTTCAGTATTTATAACATCTGGATAAAATCATTGAGACAATGATAAATACATTTTGAAAGTAGTTTATAGCTTTTTCGATGTGTCGTTTTCATTTCATGAGTACTTTTTTATCGATAATGATAGGAAAATATTTAGTGTTAAAAATACAACAATCTTACATATTCATCTACTTTTTCTAACATAATAGCAAGGTGTAAAACGTAAAAACATTCTTTAATTTTCAATCTTTTTTTAGATTTTATTAATAAAATCTACAGAAATTTATTTAATATATTGTTATTAGAGAATGTTAAAAATTAAATGGATTTATTGCATTTATTAACGTCCTGGTCAAGAAGTTCATACTTCTATTAGCAAATCCGATTACCAAAAATTTTGCAAAGGACTCCAAAAATTGTTTTATTTACGATTGTAATAAACACTTCAAAAAATAACTTGTGCAAATTTTAGGGTTGTAATACAAACGGTACTAACTGTGTATAATTTTAAAAATCTTTACTAAATAACTCGAAGTTTTGCAGTACTTTTTTCTAAATTACAAATATATCAAAAATTTGCAAAATACTCTATAAATTTTAGTACTAGCGATTGTAGTAGATATTTCAAGGATTAACTCGTGCAAATTTCAGGGTTGTAATACAAACGGTGCGACCTGGGCATAATTTCAATAATCATTTATTAATATACAGTTACTAAATAGATCGAATTTTCACAATAGTTTTTTTTTTCTCATAAATTGCAAATAGCTCAAAATTTTGCAAAGAACTCCATAAATTTTATTATTTGCGATTATAGTAGACACTTTAAAGAACAACTTGTGCAAATTTCAGGGTTGTAATACAATCGGTTTGACCTGGACATAATTTCAAAAGTCGTTTATTAATATGCAGTTGGATCTTTACCATATATCTTGAAACATTGCAGTACTTTTTTTTACTATTTTGCAAATATCTCCAAATTTTGGAAAGGACTCTATAAATATTAGTACTAGTGATTGTAGTAGACACTTTAAAGAATAACTGGTGCAAATTATAGGGTTGTAATACAAACGGTGCGAATTAGGTATATGTTCAAAAATGATTTTGTAATGTACAGTTGGTTCTTTTCTAAATATCTTCATATGTTGCAGTACTTTCTTTACTAAATTGCAAATGTCTCAAATTTTTGCAAAGAACTTTATAAATTTTAGTATTAGCAATTGTAGTAGGCGCAAAGAATATCTTGTGCAAATTTCAGGGTTGTTATACAAACGGTACGACCTGGGCATAAAGTCAAAAATCTTTACTAAATATATTTGATCTTTGCAGTACTTTTTTACTAAATTGCAAATATCTCAAAAATTTTGCAAAGGACTTTATCAATTATAGTATTAGCGATTATAGTAGACACTTCAAAGAATATCTTGTGCAAATTTCAGGGTTGTAATACGAACGATGCGCCCTGTGCATAAGTTCAAAAAATATAGAAATCATGTTTACTTAACTCTATATTCTCTTTTTCAGAAATTCTCCACACTGGTTCGGTTTGCGACTAAACTTGCGAAGATCCAAACCGGAAGATTCAGGGACGTACTCGTGTCAGTTGACAAATATTTCAACGGTTTCCATACGAGTTCATGTACTAGATGGTAAGATTCCATCCCATTTGTTGTATAGTTTAGAAAAAATCAAAAACTATTTTTCACATAAAACTTTTACAGATTCTTATATCAACTTTGGATTTTGGTTTATCATTTCAATTATTTTTTAATTGCAGAGGAAACGCAAGCCGCAGTTCAACATAAAACTCACTTCGGGGCAGCGAATGTGTTAAAATCGGAATTCGGCCTTTTTTATGTACTGTATATATTTTTATCGAAATTTGTAGCGATTTATTATCTATAATTAGTTAATTTGTATGATATGTAATTAAATTGTATATATGTAACTAATATCTTAATTATCATTAAATATACTAACAATTGCTATTATAAAATAAACATATATGAGAAATACTATATTTATTTTTTTATTATTCAACAGGCTTCGAAAGGAACAGGACACTGGGTTGGGAGGTAATAGAAATAATAACGGATATTGAAAAAAACAAAGCCAGAAATTATATGGTGAAAAATTCTCTGGATAAGGTGTTTTTGTTGAAAATATTAGGTATGTGAATTTTCATTATGGTGGTGGTATTTTTGATTAAACAAGTTGATAAAAAAATTACACGAGCCTACAAATTATAAAAAATATATATATATATAAAAAATCTAAACTAGGGTTAAATAATAAAATACCCTATTTTTTATATTTTATTTACTTATTTTATTTTTTCACATTTACATAATTTAAAATATTTAAAATTCATTCATGAGTATTCATTAATTTCATGTATTTTTTTTTCATTTTGTTTAAATCAAATAAATTGCATATATTTGAAGCTCATTTTTTTATCATCATATTTAACACGTTAATCGCCACGATAATATCTAAAAAAATCACATGAGCCATCAGATAATTTAGTTAAAAATGTATCAAAGGAAAAAAATTCTGTTGTATTTTTTGACTGATATTTAATTCTATATTAAAACTTTTTTCTTCTTTTACCAAATTACATATATGACTGACATGGCGATTAACGTGTTAATATTAATAATCGATGCACAACTTTTTTCTATTTTACATAGATATGCATTTTTTTTCTAATTTATTCAAATCGAAGAATTTGCAAAATTAAATACTCATTTTATTTAAATAAATCATATTCAATAATAATTTAATAATTTTGCAAGTTTCAAGTCATTCATTTTATACCAAAATTTCTGTTGTTATAATTTTAAAAATTGTTAAATCACAATTGCAAATTTTTTTGAGTTAAATTACTTCACTTTAATTTTTTTAATAATGTAAACAAATTAGCTATTTGTTTAGTTATTAAATTTACTTTGTTATTTATAATTTATTTTTATTATTTAAAGCCCTTACTTTTGCTGCTGTAAAACGGATTTAAATAAATATATATACATATATAAATAATAAATAATAAAACAATTAAATTAATAAATGATAAATAATTAAACTAAATACTAATAACATATTTTGAAGCTTACATTAAACTTTTTATATTTAAATAATAAACTTAAAATTAAAACTAATATTCGGATTGAAAAAGCTTTCATAAGGAAATTTTAAATTTTTTTGGACAATTGGCGTCTTAATTTTAACCCGTTCCACTCAGATGCTGGTGCTCTGGCGACAAAATTCATATTAATTTCACAGTTTGCGAGTGGAAAGGGTTAATTTTTATTAATGGGGTATTCTATTCTAGAGACGCGAATTTTATGCGGATTTTTAAATGGCCTTAAAAAAAGACAAGACATGTTTTTACTATATTTTTTTATATGTTATTAATTAATGTTTTGAAAATAGAAAAAAAAATTCGTCTCAAAAAATAGTCACGTGACCATGACCATGCACTTAATTCTACACAAATTTTCATTCTCGAAATTTTTAAATTAGTAAAAGCGAAATTCGGGCATGAGCTTAATTCTTAATTAATTCACAATAAAATAAAGAAAAGTCTAAAAAGAAGATTTTGTAAAAATTTCATGTAAATCGATGCAGTAGAAGTCGAGAAATGGTGGGTGTCGTGTGGAAGGAAACTGAGGAGGAAAATTATGAAAAACTCTTGAAACTAGTAAAAATCTGGATTTGGGTATAATCTTAGTATATACTGACAAGGAGTCTTTAAAAAGACTCTGTAGAAGTTTCAAGTGAATCGGTGCAGTAAAAGTCGAGAAATGGTGGGTGTCGTATGGAAGAAAACTGCGAAGATATTTTTTTTAAAATCCTTAAAAATAGTGAAATGTTGAATTTGGGGGTGAGAGTAGTGCATACTGATGAGAAGTCTTTAAAGAAGACGCTGTACAAGTTTCAAGTAAATCGGTGCAGTAGAAGTCGAGAAATCGTGGGTATCGTATCGAAAAAGATAGTTTATAGGAGGAAGGAATCAAAGTAGCATTTTCGTGGACAAACATCTGTATCTTCGTAAATAATTCAAACTTTGAAAAATCCTCTTGTACATATATTCTTCAATAGTTTAACCTTGAAAATATCAATCAATTTTTTAAAATTTTAGGCTAGAATACTCCCTTCATTTATCTTTAATCGACCCAAGCAAATGTGGGTGTATGAACCGTCTTCAAATGGTCCGGAGTTCGAATTTCGTCCTCCAAAATTCGTCTCGGTCTTCCACTTCTCAAAGAAACACTTAATTTCCTTAAAGTGTCATATTTATTCATTCTTGGTTTTGTTTTATTTGGAGAATAATTGTTGTGGGTCTTCTTGGCATGGCGATGTAGAAGATTTAGTGATGATAGAGGTTTCTTTTGGCCGTGGGTTTTCTGAAAAAGTAATAATAATAGTCATCGTAAATAGTACTGTAAGAATGTTAACATATATCGCAAACTTAGAATTAATGCTCTATTCCCTGTTTTAGTGTTTTACGCACTCAACAGAGGGCCTTCTTTACCCAAATTTATCATTAAAAGAATTGACTTACGGAATTTATTCTCTTACCATAAAACACGTACTTTAAGCGTTCAGTTTTTTTTTATTATTTATTTTTGTGAAAACGAATTTTGTTCTCATTTCAATTATTCAAATTAGTTAGGTTTATCATGTCTATATCATATAATTATATAATCTTATCTAGTGGTAGATTTACGTGCTACTGTTTGTGGAGCGTGGAAATAATTAAAAATGAAGTAATGACAAAGCAACCGTGTTTGCGATCTAAAATTACTTTCAATAATTGAAAATTTTCTCTTTCCAATGTACAAAATTATCCATTGAGTGTATTTGTAATGCAATTGCGCCTATTATTCTATGATTGATTGAGTGCTCTATTTGTTATCTTTGATTCAATCGAAATTACAATACATAGATATGGGGGCTCAATTAAATTTCTCCTCAAATTCAATAGACTCTCCGACTACAAATCATATATGCATTTTGCAAACTGACACCCGACTAACTCAATCCATCTATTCATTAATATAATACAAAATTAAGCAGCTCCGGATATATAGATAATCGATACGCAAATGCATTTGTTTCATACTAATAATTAAATTAAATTAAATATTAATATTTCATTCGAGTCTAAAATCATTTTGTTCAAACTTTTGGTACAACACAGTTTTCAACAGTAAATATGCATCATTATTTTCTTTTGAAACAAAGAATGGTAGCTAATGAGCATTGAGCAAACCTACTTTTATCTTGTACTCTCTTGATGTTTTTTACTGTTTTCTTTAAGAGTTTTTAAAAGTTCAAAGGACGACAATTTCTTTTATTTTTGCGCGGATTAAAATATAATACTCTCAGTTTTTGATAAATAATTCCATTTGCGAACTTTTTGGAACTTGTTGTAATTTTACGCACTTCGGAAAAAAATACTGCGAACTTTCGAGATATTTGGTAAAAAAAACAGCTGTATATTTTTGAAAATTTGCCCAGGTCGCACCGTTTGTACTAAAACCCTGAAAATTGTAGGAGTTAATCTTTGAAGTATCTACTACAATCGCGAATAAAAAAAATTATAGAGTATTTTGCAAAATTTTGAAACATTTGCAATTCAATAAAGAAAGTACTGTAAAGTTTCGAGATATATAGTAAAAAATTATCTGCATATTAAAACACGATTTTTGATATTATACTCAGGTCGCACCGTTTGTATTACAACCCTGAAATTTACACGAGTTATTCTTTAAAGTTTTTACTATATTGTCTAGTTATATAATTCATAGAGTCCTTTGCGAAATTTTGCGATATTTGCAATTTAGCGAAAAAAGGACTGCAAGGTTTTGAGATATTTAGTACTCCATATTGATAAATGATTTTTGAAATTATGCCCAGGTCACACCGTTTGTATAAAAATCGTGAAAAATGTAGGAGTTATTCTTTGAAGTATTGGTTACATTTTCTAGTTATGAAATTTAAGGAGTCCTTTGCAAAATTTCGAGATATTTGCAATTTAGTAAAGAAAGTACTGCGAAGAAACGATCTATTTAGTGAAGAACCTACTGTATATTAATAAGTGATTGTTGAAATTATGCCTAGGTCGCACCGTTTGTAGTACAACCCTCAAATTTCTACAAAGTATTCTTTGAAGTGTCTACTACAATCGTCACTAATGAAATTTATAGAACTCTCTGCAAAGTGTTGAGATATTTAGTAAAGAACAAACTCATATTAATAATTGATTTTTGAAAAAAGGGGTTTTAGTTATATAGCTAAATCTTAATTCTTATTAATTAAGTATATTATTTCTATATTTTGGATAGTTTATGTAACTTGCCTTAAGGTAAAATGCCACTTATGACTACTTATTTTATACAGACATAGTCTCAAATTATTCCTAACAGCTTGATATTTTAGAATATATTTTGGTATTTGCAAAAAAAATAATTCAAATGGGTACACTCGTCATTCTGCCACCATGACGTGTATACTCGTCAATCACAATTAACCGGGTAAAAATATAAGGTGATAAATATGAACTTAAAAATATATTCTTTATCTCGATTCGAACTCGAAATCTTGTGGTTGCAAATCCATACGTGTCCCACATAAGCAAGGATGTGCGAAAACGATATATATTCATGATCATTCCGTAAACCAATGGTTATATTATATAGTAAGACAAATGAGGGGGATTTATATTTCACGTATTTCCCTTGTTCGATGACTTCCCTATTGTTCAAAACGTTGAACGTGTTAATGACGACTAAAGACGTACCCGCACCATCTGCTCGACTCGAGAGTAAAATCATTTGTCAGTCGGAATAATACCGAACCGAGTGCCGAGTGTTCTCTACTCGGTGGAAATGGAAACTTTATTGTTTTGTGTTATGCAGTGGCTATTTCCTTTGAATTGAAATGGGAAACAGTCTGCAGAACAGACTATTACAATGTGATAAGGTATTATGCTAATCCAAAATATAACACGACGAGAACACATGTCCAGAAATAAATCGAAAATTAAAATTTTTACGTTACAAAGCTTTCTGAACATTTTGGCATACCTTAGAATGTGTGTGTTTTGTGTATGTGTGTTCGGATGCAAATTTTCCGTAGAAGATTTCTAGAGCACTGATCAGCCG